GTGATGATTTTTGGGTGGATATGAGTTTTCAAGTCTGTTGAGTATGTCTTGATCATATGATAAGAGTATGTTCGGCTTCGGAAGAAACTGTCAAGCATCTTCCAAAGCGTCTGTACCGGTTTTTGCATTCCCGTCAGCAGTAAGTGAGAGTTCCTGCGGCTGCACATCCTTGCCAGCAGTTGGTGGTGGTAATTTTTAAAATTTCAGCCACGTTGATATGTATGTTGTGGCATCTCTCTTTAATTTTGGCAGCATTTTTTTGTTTTTCAAAAAGACTTACTTATTTTTAGAGAGAGGGGAAGGGAGGGAGAAAAAGAGGGAGACAAACATCAGTGTGAGAAGAATAGACTGATCGGTTGCTTCTTGAACACCCCCAGCAGGAGACCTGGCCCACCGCCCAGGTGGTGCTCAGTCCAGTGAGCCCCAGCAGCCAGGGCATGACAGCGTTTTTTAACTACTATGTTCTCAACATTAAGTGTAGTAGTAATAAGTGCTTATTTGTTGTTTGCTTGTGTTGGAAGAATGAATAGGTGAAATAATTCTGTTGAGTTATGAATGGTTTGAATGTAACCAGATTCCTAGGTTTCTGCTCCTTGAGAACAATACTTCTAGGTCCTTCCAACACGTTCCCCACACACAGGAGTCAATTGTGTGTACTGTTGAGGTGCCTCATTTTCAGAGGCTTTGCAATCGCAAGGAGTGCTTTGAGCCATCCACCGTTAAGCAGTTTCAGCCTTGGAGCCCAAGTTCTGGAGCAGAGCTCCCCAGCTGGCATATGGGTAATGAACTGCAAGTGGCAAGACCCTGATACCCTTCAGGGTGGAGACAGTGCCCAGTTGCCCCACATGCCACAGAAACGTTCTTTTCCGGGTGTGCCACGGCAGCAGAGAGCTGGGGCAGCGCTGCCCTGTGAGTCCAGGATGCTCAGAGCCGAGTGTCTGATCCCTCGTTTTTCCCTCACTCCCTCTATAGTGTGCATTTGTTATTGCGATAAAATACATACACGTATATATAAATTTTACCATCTTATCTATTTTAACCGTTTGGTTCATTGCTGTTGAATACGTTCAAATCACGCCAGCATTGCCAGCATCAGTGCCCATAACACTCTCCATCATGTGAAACAGAAATTATACCTATTCATCAGTAACTCCCATTCTCCTCCCCTCAGCCCCTGGCAGCCCCATTTTATTTTCTGTCTCTCTGATTTCGGCTGTTCTGGATACCTCTTATAAGAGGGATTATAGAATATTCATCTTTCTGTGACTGGCCTGCTTCACTTAGCATAATCTCCATAGGTTCATCTGCCTTGTAGCACATGTCAATTTCCTCATCCCTCCCCACCTTTTTTTAATCCTCACCCAAAGACATGCTTATTGATTTTAGAGAGAGGGGAAGTGGTGGGGAGGGGGTGGCGGAGAGAAATACCAATGAGAGAGAGAAACAACAGTCAGTTGCCTCTTGTACATGCCCCAACCCTGGACCAAAACTACAGCCTAGGCGTGTGCCCTGACCGGGTGGTCAAACCCGTGACCTTTCTGTTTACAGCATGACGCTGCAACTGTTCGAGGCGCACCGGCCAGGGTGCCTTCCTGTTTGAAGCTGGACAATATTCCAGTATCCGGCTGGACCACATTTTGCTTATCCCCTCAGTGTGATCGCCTCACTGCTGTCTCCACCTGGTTTTTCTTTTGCCTGAGTTCCCTTATGTGTTTCTGCTGACAAGGTGGTTAGAGGCCTAGGGAGTCAAATGCTCCAGGTCTGAATCCTTGTTTTACTGGTCATGAGACCCTCATAATCAGTAATAATAAATAGTAAATCCCTGCGCTTTATTCCTCATCTGTAACATGGGTGTGTGGTGGTGGTACTTTGAGTTAAACAAGACAATAAAGACTTAGCACAGAGCCTGGCATTGATCAGGTGTACAACAAATGTTAGCTATTAAAACATGATCATTGTACTTTTATTTTTTGTTTTTTATTTTTTAGTATATTTTATTGATTATGCTATTACAGTTGCCCCATGTTTTCTCCCCTTGATTCCCCTCTGCCCTGCAACCACCACCACCACCACCAGCATTCCCCTCATCCCTTAGCTCATGTCCGTGGGTCATACATAAAAGTTCTTTGGCTTCTGTCTTTCCTATACTATTCTTAACCTCCCCCTGTCTATTTCGTACCTACCATTTGTGCTTCTTATTCCCTGTACCTTTTCCCCCATTCTTCCCTTCCCACTGATAACCCTCCATGTGATCTCCATTTCTGTTATTCTGCTCCTGTTCTAGTTGTTTGCTTAATTCATTTTTGTTTTTGTTTTTGTTCAGGTTCAGTTGTTGGCAGTTGTGAGTTTGTTGTCATTTTACTGTTCATAATTTTGATCAACTTTTTCAAGAAAAGAAGTCCCTTTAATCATATAATAAAAGCTTCATGATGATGAACTTTTTTAACTTGACTTTCTCTGGGAAGCACTATATTTGTCCTTTCATTTTAAATTATAGCTTGGCTGGATATAGTAATCTTAGATGTAGCTCCTTGCCTTTCATGACTTGAAACACCTCTTTCCAGCCCCTTCTTGCCTGTAGGGTTTCTTTTGAGAAATCTGCTGACAGTCTGATGGGAACTCCTTTGTAGGTGACTGTCCCCTTATCTCTTGCTGCTTCTAGGATTCTCTGCTTCATTTGAATCTTGGCTAACGTAATTATGATGTGCCTTGGTGTGTTCCTCCTTGGGTCCAACTTCTTTGGGACTTAGTGAGCTTCCTGTACTTCCTGGAAGTCTATTTCCTTTTCCAGATTAGGGAAATTCTCCATTATTTTTTCAAACAAGTTTTTCCTTTCTCGCTCTTCCTGTTCTCCTTCTGGCACCTCTATGATTCGAACGTTAGAACATTTAAAAGTTGTCCCTCAGGTACCTAAGCCTCTCATTTTTTTTTTTTATTCTTGTTTCTTCATTCTGTTCTGGGTAAATGTTTATTTCTTCCTTCTGTTCCACACCATTGATTTGAGTCCCAGTTTCCTTCACTTCCTGTTGGTTTCCTGTATATTTTGCTTTATTTCACTTTGCATAGCCTTCACTTTTTTCTCTATTTTGTAACCATACTCAACCATTTGTTACCAGTGTTTTGAACTCCGCATCTGATAGATTGGCTGTCTCTTCATCACTTGGTTCTATTTTTGGAGCTTCTATTTGGGCCATATTTCTTTTGTCTCCAGGTAGCTGTTATATTGTAAGGGGCGGAGCCTTAGGTATTCCCCAGAGTGAGGCAAGATACATTGTGGCGCTGTCTGTGGGACCCGTGGGAGAGGGAACAGTGCCGCTTGCTGGGTTCTTGGTAAGTTTTCAGTCACTTCCCCCACTACCCATAATCAAATTGGGCCTTCTGGTGCTGATTCCTGGGTGGGTGGGCTTGTGTGTATTCCAGGACCCTGTGGTTCTCTGCAACAAACTCTTATGTGAAGCTTCTCCCACCTCTGCAACCTCTAGAGGTTTTGAGGCTTTCCTTCTCCACACTGGAACCCTGGGTTACGCGGTCTGTCTCGCTCCCCAGTTGTTCCTCCTGGTTTACTCGCACGGGAATATGGGACCACCGGGACTACCAGCCATCAACTGTCCGTGTCTCTCTCCACCCCAGCTGCTTGTCTCCGCCCCCCTGCCGGTCTGAACGAATGTTTCTCTCCTTAACTCCTTGGTTGTTGGACTTTCATACAGTTCAATTTTATGGCAGATCTGGTTACTTTTTGTTTTTAAATTTGTTGTTGTCCTTTTGGTTGTGTGAGGAGGCAAAGTGTATCAACCTATGCCTCAATCTCGGCCAGAAGTCATCATTTGTACTTTTAAAACTTCATTCTTTCTGGTTGAGGAGGAGGAATATCCTAAATTAATTGAATTAAAATTTAGAGATGATTTCATTGCCATGAGTGTTTTTTAGTGTCTCGTTCTAGGTGCGAAGTTGATTTTTAGAACATACTGTGCCTGGGCACCGCAAGGCCTCCTGCCTTGAAGCTCTTCAGCCTGATGATGACCGTGGAAGAAACTCACTGGGTGCCTGCGGGCACTGGAGTCCCTGCACGTCTGCAGGGAGGGGGCGCGTTAGTGGGCCTGGGTGAGCCCACTGGGCCTGCAAGTGGCCACGTGGGCTGGACTGTGAGCCGGAGGGCTGGTGCTGCCTCTGAGGGCTCTGGCTGTGCCTTGTTCCAGCTCTCGCCCACTGCCCTGCTCCGAAGAAGAGGGAGGGAGGAGGAGAGGCTGGGAACAAGTTGTCTTTGTGTCCTGCTTTTGGGCAGCTCAGTGGCACTGTGGGTATTGGCAGTCGTGCCAGGGAAAACACTGGGGTTTAGAGCTGCACGTGGAGTGTCAAGAGAGAGTTTCCGGGTCTGTGGGAAGAGCCGGGAGGCTGGCATATTGGTGTGGGCAGAGCCCTCAGCTGCACAGGTTTAGAAAATCCTTTTGCTGACTGCGGTGTGAGAGCTTGAGACATGAGCAGCAGTGCTGTCACCGTTAAGTGTTAAATCTTAAAGATCTGGTTGGGGGTGTTGCCCTGCCATAGAGAAGCCGTGAGGCTCGATCTGTGGGGCATTGGGCTCTTTGTGTGCTGCTGGACCTGTGTAACAAGGGTGAGGTCCCCCCGCCTGCAGGTGGGTAAGTTCTGTGCCTGGCTCTTCGATTTTAGAGAAAGGAAGGTAGGGGGAGTGGGGAACATTGATTTTGTTGTTCCACTTATTTGTGCTTTCATTGGTTGATTCTGGCATGTGCCCTGACCTGTGATCAAACCTGCACCCCTGGTGTGTCAGGATGACGCTCTAACCAGCAGAGCTGCCTGGCCAGGACTGTGACTGACTGCTCGTACTGGGCAGTGGCACTGAGGGCCGATGGAGGTGAGGACCTCCTCTGGCTCCTCACTGTCTGTTCCTAATGTTATCACAGTGCTTCTCCTTTTCTAAAGTGCCCTTGATTATCTGAGTAAATTTGGCCATCTCTTACCTGAATGTTGTGTGATTGCAGGACCCAGTCAGTCCCAAGAGCATCCGTCCAGCAGCTCTGAGGAGGCATCCGGGACAGAGGAGGAGGAAGAGGAGGAGCCCAGCTTCATCATGGGGCGATGACTGCGGGTCACAGTGACTGTCTAGAGCCCAGGGCCTCAGAAAACCCTCCACATGACCCAAGGAGAAAAGAGGCTGTTTGAACTCAGTTTCTATCCCAAGCCTCGCTGAACAGAAGCAAGTGGGAAGCCGTCCCAGCTGCTCGAGGCCCTGCCAGTAGGCAGGACTCGGAGCCTGTGGGACAGAGAAGACTGTCTCCTGGACGCTCCAGGGCAATGCCAAGGGGAGCTCATTAATGTTTCCGCTGAAAGGGGGAAAACGTTTAACCTTCTTCTTCCCCTGGTGTTTATTCCCACGTACTTGGACATTGACGCGTTTGGGGCTGATTTCTATGGAAGGAATGTTTATTTAGTAAAGAACAGAAAAACTTTGGATTTTGTTTGGACCTGGGAAATGTTGGAGCTGTAGGGAAGGCTGTGAAAGAGGTGGCGGGGGCGGGGCCTTTCCCAGACTCACTGAGGGCTGTGGCCGTGGTGCCGGGGCTGACGCCCACTGCAGGGTGCCTGACCCTCACTTCCTCCAGCCGAGGGTGCAGACTGCGCCCCAGAACACATGCTCCCACCCGGGCGAGCTCCCAGTACACACGTGTGTTTTGGGAAGCCCTGGGCACATGCAAAGGGAGATAGAGGTAGGGTGTGACCAGAGGGGGCTGGGCCAGAAGAATGGGAACTCCGTGTGTGAGAAGAGCTTTCGGGAAAGGAATTGGAGGCAAGAAGGAGAAGCAGACGGAGAATCCAGGCTGGGCTGAACCAGAGGAGAGGGCGGGGGGGAACCTGGCCACCTGGAGGGGGATCCGTTGGCCAGAAGCTGCGTTTCCATCCCAAGGTCAAAGGGGCTCTAAACGGGAAACCGGAGGCTGCCTTCCAGGTGGCAGGGGGGCCAGAGGGTTTCTAGTCAGAGCCTTTGGTCCCCATTGGGTTCTTTTTCTCCATCTCCAAGTTTCTAAGACTATTTCCTGGCTTTTATGGAATTGTATGCAATTACAAAAATTATGGTTTTGCTTGACCATTTTACTCTTATTTCACTTTGATGGTATTGATTTCCCTGGCTCTGCTGCCCTACGCCAGTTGACATCTATGGTGACTTCTATGGTCCTTCTATGGTCCATCTATGGTCCTTTCAGCAGTGAAGTTACAGGTTTTTTTTAAGTTTCCTTAAATTATAATACATCACAGTCCAGTTAATATTTATTAAGTGATAACACAGGAATTTTTCTTCCCCAGGAAGCTGGGATGGAAAGTTGACTGGATAAACTGGCACACACCCTGGCTGCACATTTGGAAACCCTGGTTTCCCTTTGGCTGGGCGCTGGCCGGGCGGTTTGCGTTTTGTCTTTCGTTCACTGTCTCCGGCTTGCTGGTTTCCCTGTCTCCCTACAGAGTGTGTGCCACAGCTCTTGCTCTGAGTCTAGCCTGGATCTCTCAGGTTTTGTTTCTCCCTGGAGACTGTGGAGTGAGCCAGAGCTCGGACCCGGAAGTGGGGAACCCTGGGCGAGTCGCCTCCTGCCTCTGCCTGGTGCACCTGGCCGAGAGCTTTAGTGAGACCCGTGTTGGACAGGTGGGCAGAAGACTAAACAAATAAACGTGTTTATGTTTTATGTCTTTACTAGGTACCAGAAGATGGAGTTTAGGTAGGAAACATCCTGTAGCAGTTTCTGGCAGTTTTTAATGGGTCGTCTATACCTTAGGTTGCGTGACTCAGTCTTTCTTTTTCAGAGTATTACTTGGGAAAGGTTACAATTAGATGTCATCAGTGAGAAGGCAGTGGGTGATACCGAGAGGACAGTACCCCCTGAAGAAGGCCACGACTGGGGGCAGTCGCAAAATAATGCCCTTACTGAGTAGCTTGTGGGTGGGAGAAGTTAGACAACAGTGGTGTGCACAGCTTGGGGGTCTCAGCAAACCTCGTGTGCAGGAATTCTGATGCACCAGACATCTGTCCTTCGTTCACTGAGTAAGTCACCAAACAGTTACTGAGCACAAGCATTTAGTGGCAGCCCTGTGCCTAGTTATTTGTATTAGAATACTGTTTGCCCTTTAATTGGTAAACAGATTTATTTACCAAGCAAGATTTATAAACAGAGTTCTGGAAACCTGCCCAGGTCACCCAGCAAATAAGTGGTAGAGCTGGCCTTTGAACCCACTCAGTGCGACTTCAGAATCTATCACCCCTGTCCCTACCACAAAGGGCCGTGCAGCGCTGCTCTGGGGGAGGAGCCGTGCGCAGCTTCACCTGGTGGGGCGGGGCTCTCGGGACAGCTCTTCGGTTTCCAGGGCTGTAGCCTGCAGGCCCTGCCCCTAACACGCCCCTGGGTCTCTGTGTGTGTGTACATAATAATCATAAAGTGTAGTTTTATTTTTTTTAAAGATTTTATTTATCTTTAGAGGGGAAGGAGAGAGGGAGAGAAACATCAATGTATGATTGCCTCTAGTGCATCCCCCACAGGGAATTGTCCTGCAGGGAACCCGCCTGCAACCCAGGTGTGTGCCCTGACTGGGAATCGAACCGCGATCCTCTGGTTCACAGGCCCGTGCTCAATCCACTGAGCTACACCAGCCAGGGCTAAAGTGTAGTTTTAAATATAACTGATTCTCATGTTTCACAAATGCCATGTTTGTGAGTTCACTGACATTTATTTGTAATCCCAAAATTAATGCTTGCGCTTTTGCGGTCACTTTCAGACATGCACAGAGTAGTAAAAATCTGAGTTGCCTGATGCACACATTCCCAGCTGAGGTTACACAAGGTTCTGCCTTCTTGTTTCATCTCAAACTTACCTATTTAATGGCAGGGTTTTTGCATTTTTTTGCTAATCGTTGGTGGTTGCTGTTAAAACTGGCCCCCAATTTCACCATGCGAGTGCAGGAACGGGTCTCCCCGGATACCTAAGTGGCCGGCACCCTGATGTCAGACTTCCAAGCTCCAGAACTATGAAAAGGAAATTCCTGTCATTTAAAATAGATATATAAAATGGCCCCCAAATGTAGTTCTGAAGTTCCCTCTAGTGTTACAAAGATTTACTTATTTTTAGAGAGAGGGGCAGGGAGGGAGAATGGGAGAGAAACATCCACCAGTTGCCTCTTGTGTGCTCCCCAGTGGCAGACTGGACCCGCAACTCAGGCATGTGCCCTGACCAGGAGTTGAACCAGCGACCCTTTCACTTTGCGGGATGATGCAAACAACGGAGGCAACTGAGGGGGGGTGGGGGGTATTTTTTTTTAATCCTCACCTGAGGATATGTTTATTGGTTTTAAAGAGTGGAGAGAGGGAAAACAACATTGATTGCTTCCCAAGCAGCCCCCGACCAGAATGGAACCCACAGTCTGTGTGCTCTGACTGGAAATCAAACCCACAGCCTTTGGTGCACAGGCTGATGCTGCAGCCAACTTAGTCGCCAGGGCCAGCCATCTAGTGTTTAAGTACAAGAAGGCTGTGATGAGCTTTAGATAACCTTCATTCAGGCGTGAGTTACAGCACTGTTTGGATGTGAGCTCAGTGTTTAGTCAGTAATATATATTTATTATTGACAAAGGTGTCTTTACAAAGTAAGGCTGTGTGTTGATCAGCTGATGTGACTAGAGGCTCGTGGGAACCCAGCTGTCTATTTCCTGATCAGCAGTGGTTTGCTGCTCGCTGCTTCAGTGTTTGAAGCAACTTCATGTAACGTAACTCCCGTGAATAATGAGGACCGGTTGTGTGTATGTGTCTGGAGAGTGAACGAGCATTCATGAGCAGTCCCAGAATGACAGAGATGTGTTCCCCAAAGCAAGGAGTTGCACCGTGTGGCTGTGTTCCCGGTGCTACCAGTGCTGTTTCCCACCGGCAGAACTGGGCTGTGGGACCAGCCCACCCCCACCCCCTCACTTTGAATGCAGGGTCACAGGTGTCACACAGCGCTCCTCACCTCTTCTTAGATCTGCCCTAGTGTAATAACTGTCAACTTTCTGCAAGGCATCTTTTACGGGTCCTCTCTCCTTAGACCCCCATCCACCAGCCCCCTGCACTGGAGCCAGCGTGCCCTGCTCTCTCTCCTGGTCCGCTCAACGCCCCTCCCAGTGGCAAGTGTCTCTGGAGGCGCCTGTGGGGGAGAAACAAAGCAGAAGCCTTTGTCTTCACGTCCTCCTACCACCTCCCGTTTCTCTCCTCCCTGCTCAGCATCGCACCCCGAGTTCCTGCTCACTTCTACCTCTTCTCCCTCATCCCTCTGCAGGTTTTCCTCCCCATCACTCCACGGAAATCTGATCTTGCCAGCTCCGGCCTTTGGTGGCCGGATTTCCCAACCCCTCTGCACTCTCGACAGTGGTCTTTCCCTTGCTTCTCTACTCCCACTCCACGTGTTGGGGTGACCCAGGGGGCTGTCTTCTGTCGTTCATCAAATTCGGGCTCCAGAAGATTCTGCCTAGCCCACGGTTTTACCCGCCATCCTCACCGACGCCTTCTTCGACCTCCTTTTGGGGTCTCAGACGCACGTCTACCTGCCGTCTCCCCTGGGTGTCTCATGGGCACCTTGCACTTTGTATAAGAAAAGAAAGGTTTTCAGCCCCTAAGTGCATTGCTTGTCTCCCTACTCGGTAAACTGCCGCCATCTACCCAGAGGCTCAAGGCCCTGGCCTAGGAGTGGAGCTCATCCTTGTTTCCTGCTTCCCTCGCCCCTCCCCGCACCCATCAGTCAGCAGGCCCCGGACCTGCGCCCTCGGACTTCCTCGTTCACCCCGGGCTGCGCCACCGTGTCTAGCTTGGCCGGATGCCTTGGCCTTTTTCTACTTATGCCCACCATCACCACCCGAAAAAAAAACAAAACTTCACACAGCAGGCAGAGTGATCTTTTAAAAGCAGGAACCAGACCTTGTCACCGCCCCTCCGTGTTAAGTCCCCGACGGCTCTGCGCTCCATCCCTGCCCCCTCCCTCACGCCCTGCTCTTGCTTCCAGAACCCGCGGTGACGTTGTCCCTGCCTCAGGAACTCTGCTCTTGTCCTGCCTCTTTTCCTTACATCAGGCCTCAGCTCTCCACCCCGCTGCCACCCGCGTTTTCATTTTCTCCCACGGCTCCCATCACCCGGCAACTCGCCTCCTCACCCTGTTGTCACGTGGGCGCCGCCCCCAGACTCAGCTCTGAGTCCGCGGAGAGCAAGGCCCTGCCCACCCTGCTCTCTGCTGCACCCCTATGCCCGCACGGTGCTTAGGTCATAATAGATGCTCAGTAAATGTCGCATGATGGAACAAATTCCAGTGACTGAAACAAATGCGTAAGTTGTTCATACCTGACAAACCGCTTCTGTGGCTGGGAGAACCTCAGAGTAGAGGTATGCACGTCAGTTACGTTCGCTGGAGACCGCTGCAGCGACGCCCCCAGTGCCCCCGGCCCGCCGAGGCGCCTGCCCGAAACTCCAGACTCCCTGGCCACGCATGTTATTATTTTTTTAAGATTTATTTTTAGAGAGGAAGGAGGAAAGAGAAGGAGAGAAACATTGAGTGGTTGTCTCTCACATGCCCCACTGGGGACCCGCCACCCAGGCATGGGCCCTGACTGGGAATCAAACCAATGACCTTTGGGTTCACGGGCTGGTGTTCAATACACTGAGTTACACCAGCCAGGGCCCCGCCCATGCATTTTAAACAGGCACCAGAGGAAATTGTACTAGGAATCCCCCCACTCCATACCTGGGGAAACTGGTTTGGGGCATATTAAATACCATTACTATTTTTAAATTTTACTTCTCTGCTTCCAACATTTATCTTTTGGAAGGAATGAAAGTTACTAACCTGAGTTAGAGGAGTGATATTCTGCTGTTGACTTTTGGAAATAGGAATATAACTAAATCCTGTTTCCAGACTACGTGGAAAGAGAGCTGCGTGGAAATATTTTCTTTGGAATCATCAGTGGAAAAAGTCATGCTTTCCCCTCTTTGTAAGTTGATTGATGTTTACTGTTAGGCACACTTCACTGAAGTGGGCTACAATGTCCATGTATTAACATCTCAATGAAGAAAACACCCTTCAACATGAACACAGGCAGTGTTCAGTTTTCTGTTTTCTTTATTTAAAGATTATATGTATTCATTTTTAGAGGGAAGGGAAAGGAGAGAGAAACATTGGTTGCCACTCACATGCCCCCAACTGGGGACCTGGCCCACAACCCAGGCATGTGCCCTGATTGGGAATCAAACCTGTGACCTTTTGCTTTGCAGAACAATGCCTGGTCCACCAAGCTGCACCAGTCAGGGCAAGTTCCGTTTTCTTGTTCCATAGAATGTAACAAATGTTTCCTGGACACCTGCTCAATCCGAAAGGATTCCCAAGTGCACTGTGCTAGGCAGTGGGAATGATGGCGAGCAAAGACACAGCCCTCACTTTCAAGAAACTCCAGCTCTGGTCAGAGAAAAAAGGCCAGTGCAGGCAGCACACGGTGCCGGGTGGGCGTGTGGCTCAGGCCCCCACGTGCAGGCCCGCTAAGAAAGCCCGCTGAGGAGGGAGCCGATGCTCCGCCTCTAAATCACATGAAGGGGCCAAGTGGGTCCAAGGCCCCAGGGAAACTGAAGGGCTGGAGTAGAGGGTGGAGCGGGGAGACTCAAGGGGGGTTTTCACCTTGCAGTGTGAAGAATAGATTGGAAGGGGGCTGTGGAAGCCTCTTGCGGTAATTCGGAGTGGAGGCGATGGCCTGAATTAGTATCGAGGTCACTGGGGACAGGGAGAGATGGGGAAATTCCAGAGACATGTAGGCAGGAGAATTCACAGCACTGGATGGGAAGGGGAGGAATCAGGAATGACACCAGATCTATAGTAGCGTCGCCAGCTGGATGGACGACAAAGGACCCCTGAGACAGGTGAGTAAGGAGGAATTCAGCTGTGGACATGGTGAAGTTTGGGGCACCCCTTGCCAGGCTGGGAAAAGATCAGGGCTGGAGGCGATGACCTGGGAGTCACCAGGCTCCTGAGACAAGGGAAGTGGGCAAGACCAATCAGGAAGGTGTATACAGAGGGGGACCCAGATGACCCTGAGAAATACCCACGTCTAGGGGACAGATAGCAGTGGACCCTGCACAGGGGGGAAAAAAGGCAGATGGGGTCACCAGAGAAAAAAAAAAAAAAGCGTCTCCAGGTAAAGGGAGAAATGACAGGAAATGCCAGGGCTAAAATCTCTTTTTTCCTTTTTTAAAGATTTTATTTAGTTATCTTTAGAAGGGAAGGAGAGAAGGAGAGAAACATCAATGTGTGGTTGCCTCTCGTGCGTCCCCTGCCAGGAACTGGCCTGCAACCCAGGCATGTGCCCTGACTGGGAATCGAACTGTGACTCTTTGGTTCGAAGGCCAGTGTTCAGTCCACTGAGCTATACCAGCCAGGGTTTTGAAACCTCTTCTGATGTAGCAACACAGTGTCAGAGGACCACAGAAAAGAAGGAAGTGGTGATGACAGCTCTCTTCTGAAGTTTGGCCTGAAGAGGGGAAGATGGAGACAAGAAGGGGTGGGGCTAAAGACGAAGGGAGGCTGAGAGGGAGAAAGGTGGGTCTCAGCAGGTGCAGGAAGAGAGGAGGTGGGATGAGAACTGAGAGAGTCGGAAAGCCAGGTATTTGAGTTGAAGATTTCACGGAGGGTAATGACAAGGGCTAGGTCATAGGAGTGAATGGTTGAGGGGACACCTGATGTGTCAGGGGACTGGATACGTTGTTCACACCAGGGATGTGGCCGTGACCATGCTGGATGCTAAGATCTGGGGCAGAGAGGAAAGCAGGGACCACAGTCTTCACTGAAGGGAGGGCATCTGTGCATGAGGAAGACTAGCAGGTGGTTGACCACAGGGAGAATGTCTCAAAGAATTGTTTTTTTTCCAAATGTGGGGTAGTTTAGGCCTTGGGGGAGGAAGCCACTTGCTGAGGTCAACCAACTAGGAAAATAACAGCCCAAACTGTAACCCAGGCATATACTGGGGGACTGGTACCTGTGGACCTTCGTTTGAACCTCCTAACCCCTCAGGTAGCTGCACTCAACTACTTGGGCACCTCCAACCATTAGCACTGTGGTAGTTCCATCTCTGTGAACTTGGCACCATCCCCTTCCTGAATCTTCCGAGGATGAGAGGAAGCATTTTCTCTTGGGTGGGAAACTAGCCCTGAAAAGCACCGGTAATTATGACACGTGTGCTTCTGTTCAGGCGTGCCGGGTAAACGTGCCTGGGGGCAGGGGTCGCCCACTAGCGCAGGACCTTGTGAACAATGTGAGCTCAGGCTTCGAGGCTGAGGACTCATCAGACAAATGATTCCACTGCTGAAAGAATTCTCATCTATGACACAACTACTGTAGTTTACAGTGTTTTTCTTCTTGTTTTTCAGGTCATTTAATGAAGGGCTTTCAGGTGTGAAACCCACAGTATGGTTGCTTTCTGAGAGTTTTGCCCTCTGAAATTCAAATGACCCCTTCCCTGAAGCTGCGGAGGCGGGGCGGTAATCAGACCCCAGGTTCTCCTACAACCTTTGTTAGGGCAGTAACCAGAGGGGGCCTGGCTTAGTCTGCTTTGCACCTTAGTCTGCCTTTCTGGACCGAAAGGCATCATTTTTGGAGAAATGTGTCACGGTGCAGTGCAGTGTGATAGATGGAAAAATCCTATGTAGGGCACGCAGGAAAGACTCTGAGGGGCCGTCTGGTCTCGCCTCGTAGTGAACCATGCGTGTGCACTTCCTGAAAAGAAGAACGTTCTTGTTCGAATATCTCGGTTGTAACACCGCGGAGTTTACCGTTGCGGGCGAGAGGTTCCCTGCAGCAGCGCGGATGGAAGGCGCAGGGGCGCCGAAGAGACACGTTCACCCCCGGTGCCAGCTCTCCGCGCGCGTACAGCAGGGCTGGAGTTCCGAGCGTGCGGTACCCAGGTTAGGTCCCCACGGATAGCAGAGGGTCCGGGAGAGGGGAGTGTGCTTTGGGTGAACACCCGACAGCTCCGGCCAGCGATCCGCGCAGGGTCACAGTCCACCTAAGTTCGCGCGTGGCTGCCTCGGCCCTTCCCGAAGAGCCTGCCCTTCCGCCCGCTTCCCCACGTTCCCCACCCGCCTTGCGGTCAGAGAGTGGGATCCCCGTTCCCTCTCTCCGCCCCTCCGCACGCAGTGGTCGGTCCTGGGCATCTTCCGGAACTCGTCCTGGGAACCCCGCTCCGGTCTTAGACCCTCACGCCTCGGGTCGGGCGGGGCCCAGCCTTTCCCGGACCTGCCTCCCACACCCAGGGTGAGCAGTGCGGCTTCCCAGTTCCGTTGCGGGCCTAGCACTGCCGCGCGGCCGGCCAGGGAGCCAGAGATGCCCGGGCTTCCGGCTCATCGAGCAGCCACCGCGCCAATCCGCGGGCCGTGCTACCTGAGACGCGCCCGGGGACAGGGGAGATGCGCACCTTTTAAGGGTTTTTGCACCTAGGAAGGATCGGGCCACCAGGTAGGGGGGGTCCTCGCCCGCCCCCCCTCCGGGCCGCGAGCACCGCCGCTCTTGACCCACCAGGTCACGTGGCCTGCAGCGCCCCCCGCGGGCGGGTCACGTGACGGCAGCGCGCCGTTGCCTTGGCAGCGGCTGCGGCCCGCCCACTGGACGGGGCAGCTGGTGGAGGCGGGGCCAAGGGGTACGCGGCGGGACCGGCGGAAGAAGAGAGGTAAACGCGCTCTGCGCCCTGGCCGGGACCCCGAGCAGCGTTATAGCCGCCGGAGCCGGGAGGGCCGGATGGGCAGAGCAGCTCGGTGAGTGCGCATCGCTGGGAGTCCAGAGGAGGCAGCCGGGTCCCCGCCTTAACGGGGGACTCGACTGGGGAGGAGATGCGCTTTCTCTTGGGCGGGCTCAGAATGGGGCAGCTGCGGGATGCGGGGGCGGCCAGGTGACCCCAATCCCACTAGATCCCCGGGCGGGGTGCGGCGCCGGGAGGACTGGGAGGCTGGGGGTGCGGGCCGAATCCGGGTCCCGCGGCCGCTGGGGCTTCCCTGGGCGGGGAACGGAGATGCAGATGGATGCCTCTGAGAGACCCCTGTGGGGGCTGCTGGGCCCCTGCCCTCCACGAGTATGACAAAGAGAGAATGAGAAACAGACGTTTCTGCGGGACACTTGCCATTGCTCACGCCCCAGATGCTTAAACGAAGTTGAGACAGCCAGACCCACCCCCTGAATGTTTCAGACAGGCCTGCCAAGGAGAGTAACTAATGCAGAGGGAGTCCCTGTTAGTGTACCAGACCTCCTTTCTCTGACTTCCCGTATATAGAAACAAACGACAACCCTTGTAGATTCTGCCAGGAGAGCATCCTTTGGAACTGCTGCCACCTGACTGAAATGTCGGGCTCCATCTTGCCCCTCCCTGCCCGCATCCTGAGTCGAGTGTGAGAACCAGACCCTGCCCCTCGTTGGGCAGGGGACGCCTGGCACTAGGGAGGACACTGTGACTGGCAGGGATAGGGTAAATTTGAATCAGGTCTAGGCTGCTCCCTCTGCAGGAAGTGGCCTTTCTATCTTCAGGACCCAGGCTGCAAGCAGACAGACAGCCCTCCTTCCTTCCCATCCCTTCTATTCTGAGGATGTTTACAGGGCTTCTGGGACTGCCCTGGACACTCCCAGGAGGTCACTGCCAGACCTCACTGCCCTGAAAACCCTCCATCTCCACTTCTGAACTTGAGCCCAGCCCCCTGCTCAATGATGGCCCCAGGGCTTTCCTCTCCGTCAGCACATGCATGCCTTTGTTTTTTGGGAGGCCACCAGGCCTTCCTGCCATTTCAGTGGGCATACAGACTACATTGACCCCGGATTGTTCCGGTCCCCTCATTAACTCCTTCCCTGACCCACACCATGCACTGCCAGACAAAGTCTGGCACAGTCACACTGTCTGGGCTGCCCTGGAATCCAGCAGTCCCTGTATTCCACGCTCCCCACCCCCCAGTTCCTTGACCCTCTCTGCAGCCAGCCTTCCTGCCATGCCCCCTGCCTCTCAGAACCCCCCCCATGTGGGGAGTGTCTTGTCTCTGAGGGAGGTCCCCTCTTTGTCAATATTGCCTTCACTACTTATGTCCTTGTCCCCTGTCTTTGCTCCCCAAAAGCGACCCTCTCCCTGCCCAAAGCTGAGGCAGCCAGCACCTCCTCTGCTCCCTCGGCCCTCACACCCCCTCCACTAAAGCATTTAGCTCATTAGATGAGAATCATTCCCTTCTCTTGCTGCCACAATGGGCGCATGAACTCACAGTCCTCACCTTCTTTCATCTTTGATGCCTAGATACCAAGTGCTATCTTAACTTTAGGGCCCAATAAGCATCTCTTTGATGCAGGATGTTGGATGGAGAGACAGGTGCTCTGAGGGGGCAAAGGTTTTGCCTCTCAGGCCTCCATCTTCAGTATATTGTCTTTGTCATACCTGTAGGTCCACTTCTGTTACATGGAAAAAAAGAGAAAAAAAGTGCATTTTCAGATGATGCCATTCTAAATTATTTGGAGCTAACCAAGGGCTTGGTTGGTGAGCAACATTAGTCTGAATTCTCCCCCAGGGAAGGGACCTCCCAGTGATTAAGAAAGCAGTGCCGCTGACTGCAGGTGTGGGCAAGGGGACGGTGACCAAGGCTGGCCTAGTAATTGACATCCCTAGCAGAAATAGAAGAGCACAGAACTGTTCCCCGGGGTCCTGTTGGCCAGTAAAAGCTGTGCCTCCACAGCCTGGCAGTGAACAAAGAGGAAAGCACACCAAAACAGAGCCCTTCCGACTTCCAGGACCTTCTATAGAACCGTTTTAGAGATTGGCATGGATGGGTCAGGTGTGGGGCATTTATTTTCTCAGCTGCTGGCCCTGGCGAACACCCCCGACCCCACCCACCCATTCCCAGCCATGCTCCTCGGTCTGTTTGTAAGAGCTCTAAGTAGGCTTTTCATAGGGTCTTTTTTCGGGCCTAAATGCACAAGTCTGATACCAGCTGAGCTGTGAGTGCCCGTGCGCTTGAAGCTTGCCCTGCAGATTATTTAGAGCCGATCCCCGTGTGTAGCCACACAGCCAGCCCAGGACCATGTGAGACTACCAGCCCCTGTCCGGAGTAGGGAGATTCAGGTTCAGATTCACAAGTCGGAACCGGTCAGTCTCTCTGGTCTTCATTCTGTGTTATCGTCACACCAGATGTCTCCCCGGGATAACTCCAGGGGTCTCCAGTCTCCACTCTTCGTAAAACATTCTCGTGTCAGTTGCCGGATTTAATTTTTTTAAAAGATTTTATTTATTTACTTTTAAAGAGAGGGGAAGGGAGGGAGAAAGAGAGGGAGAGAAACAGCAGTGTGTGAGAGATACATCAGTTGGTTGCCTCTTGCACACCCCCATCTGGGCACCTGGCCCACAACCCAGACATGTGCCCTGACTGGGAACCAAACCGGCGACATTTCTGTTTGCAGGCCAGCACTCAATCCACAGAGCCACGCCACCAGGGCTAATTTTTCATTTTGCTAAATGTTTCCATTTCATCCTGGTTGTGGCTGTACTTTATAGGTTTATAACCAAGTATTTTTTAGGGTGAACCATGCTGATCAAAATTTAAGTTGAGTTTGAGAAACTAGTAGCTGCTTGGAAAGGTATATTTCACTGTTGACACTTGAACATTAAAAAACAGTTCTGAGTCCATTACCTGGTTTAAGGGCCCCAGAGGGCAGGGATGTCCTCATTTGAAGATGAGTGAGGTCAGCAAGGTCGGGTGTGGTGCCCAACCTCACACAGTGGGATCGAATCCAGACTTGGTAACTTGAGGTCCTAGGATCTTTTTACAGCCCACTAGTCCCTGGTGATAGATACAAATTGGAGGATCATCTTAGGTGCTCTTGGCCCAAGGTGGAATTTCATTCAGCCAACAGATTGGGATGGGAGGCCAAATTCCTGCTTTGCAGATAACAGTGTCAGATACTGTGGCGGTTCTCGGAAGCGCACTCCCGACCCTCCTGTCCTATAGATGGTCCCCGTGTTCCAGTGTGGGACTGTGTCAGAGAGCAGGCCCCCCACGCACACACCTCTGGCCCCCACAGCTCTAGTGTAAGGTGCACACAGCGGGCCCCAGAGAAGATGAACTGGGCTCTCGGATTCTGGATTTTCCAGGCCCTGGAGCCGTTTGGGATTCCTGACTGTGTCCCTGCCCTGCCCCCAGCCTGGCCCCCATCATGAGTGCTGAGCTCAGCGTGCCTGTGGACCCCTCCACTCCTGTCTGCTCAGAGCCGGCACACAAGGGCATGGATTACCGGGACTGGGTCCGCCGCAGCTACCTGGAACTGGTCACCTCCAACCACCACTCCGTGCAGGCCCTCTCCTGGAGGAAGCTCTACCTGAGCAGGGCCAAACTGAAAGCCTCCAGCCGAACCTCCGCCCTCCTCTCAGGCTTTGCCATGGTAAGTGCAAACACTTGGTGGGAGCAGAGCCTGCAAAATGGGCTCTGGCTAATCAGTATCCTGTGATGCTTCGGGGAACAAAGCACTCCCTCTGGGCCCCATCGGCAGCCAGGATGGACCGGGAGGTGGTTTCCCCTCATCCCATCTCCTCCCATCTCCTCCACGGCGACTGGTCTCTCGACCAGAGGGCTTGCTGAGAGATATGGGGGAGTTCTTAAGCCTCAGAGCCCACAGGAAGCACCGCTCTCACATTTACATCCAGTGTTTGGCAAAGAAGTTAGGGCGGTCATTAAAATAGCTTCAGGATGTGGGGTTTCCTGGAGCAAAGTACCCACATCTGCCCATCTCAGGCACCACCCAAGAGTCTGCAAATCTCAAGGCCTTGAGCAGAAACTGTGGGATTGATGGGTTTGCACAGTGTAGCCCACCAGGGTACAGATGCCCTCAGATGTGGCCTCCGGGTGACGAAGCAGAGCCTCTGGCCTCGTTCCCAGTCGCCCAGCTGTGACTGTCCTTCTGAGTCATCCTCCAAGACCAGAGTCCTGCTCAGGCACTGTTGACGTTAAACCCCTCAACCCTCATCCCTTTAGGGAATTGTCCCCTGGGGCACAGGTGTCAGAATTCCCGGGGCTACAACCACTTCTTTCTCTTGTATGAGGTCCTTTTGGGCTGGAAGTGGGTTTTTTTTTTTAATGCAAAAGCAGTTGTTGTTTTTCTGTAGTCCAGAGCCTCAGCTGCCAGATTGGTCGTGCAGAAAATAAAAGGCCATGGGAGTGAGCCACTGTGGCCACTCTGACAACGGCCTGCTTGGTCATTGCTAGGGCCACTCTTGGAAAAATGACATCCAGGGTGCAGCAGAGTCACCAAACTGAGAGGCAATAAATTTGGGTTTAGGTCTAGGGAAAGCAAAGTCTTCACTAGGCCTTGCATGTTCTAGAGCTTGTTTTCTACACCTCAGAAGAATTACAGTGTGGCATTACGTCTTGCTGGCCTGTACTGCGTTGTTCTACTGACTCTGGAGAGACACCAGCCCCGGGGAGCGCCTCTGGCACAGTGCAGCGAGGGCTTCCCGTCTGTGCCGGGCCTGATCTCGGGTCTGCACCTGACATTCAGACTCTGCCCTTCCAAACATTGGGATTTCCAAACCTAGGGCAACGTCTCTGCTCTCCAGGCAACAAACTGCTCGTCCAAGTTAAAGGCTTTAAAACTACTCATTCAAAAATTGAAAAAGAAGCTCTTGAATAAAGTTATCAAACAACGAGGGAATTCCGGAGGAATAGTTGAGATGTACTGGCAGCCTTCAGGGGTATGCAGTGGTCTGAGGATGAGAACAGTGACCGCTGAGAGACGAGGACCCCGCGTGCGGGCCCCGGAGCGCCCTCCGTCCTTGGTGTGGCAGTGGCAGTTACACTTCCCAGGAGTGAGTCAGCACTGGCAGAGTGTCGCCCGTGTACCAGCAGGTGCTTCAGTCAGCAGCATGGGGTACCTTTTAGAAGGTCCCTCTTAGGGAGCCTGCCCAGCCTCATGTGCACCAGAGACTCCACCGTGACAGTGAACCCTGGGAAGCCAGGGAGACAGCATGGAGCCAGGACGGGATGGGGAAAGCAGCCGTGACCCTTAATTAGTTTTAACAGACCACCAGTAAGTCAGGCAGCCGCTCAGACCGCGGAGCAGCTTGGGCGATGGAAGTAACTGGCACCCACTGTCGGCCAGCAGTCAGGCCATGGGAACCCTGGCCAGATAAGGGCTGGGACCTGGAGGAAAGAGGCAGTCTGCTCCGAGGGGGGCCTCTCTTTATATTATGTGTTCCCTCATTAGGACTGTGGAGCTGCTTCCTTGTCCAACACTGAGGACTTGTGCCCAACCCGCAGCTTCTTCATGTTTAGCCGCCTTCTGACACGCAGAACCAGTGAGCTGAGGCCCCCTCTTAAAATCTTTATACAAGCACAAGGGAAAATGGCCTTTTGTCCTTTTCTCCTTCTGAGGCAGAACAAAACTGCTTCCTTGTAGTCCTTTTAATCATCTTTGTTTCTTATCTCGGTGTCCTCTGTGGTTTACAACATCCTTTTGGTGGGCCATATCCTTTGTGGCAACAGGAGCCCACCCAGGCCACAGGGGCACCAAGAAAAGACCCCTCGACTCCTGTCGTTGGGTACCGTCCTCCGGAGCAGTGATCACGGTGGAGGCCCCGCTGAGGCGCGGCCCACGGGGGCAGCCATCTCTTCTCCGTAACTGCCGAGCCTTCCGTCTCCTCTGAGGGGTGGGGCGCTCGCTGTGAGAGGTGACAGTTGCTAGAAGTTGTGAAATCTTTCCTGGTAATTTTTAAAAACAGGGCTGGCTCAGATCTAGGAGGCAAACACAGCAGGGGCAGGACTGGGGAGCCTGCCTCCGGCTTCTCTCTCCCTCCAGCCTCTTTGCCGGTTGGGCTTTTACCTGGGAGAAGGCCCTTCCTTGGTGGGCCCCAGAGCCCTTGCTGGGCCTGGCCTAAACCCTGACTGGGAGGTGCGCAGTGCTGAGTGCTGGGATGGAGCAGGTGGTAGGGGCAGGGCCTCCCAGGGAGCTGTTCCGGATGGGCAGTGTCTGACCCAGCAGGGGCAGGGGCAGGGGCACGTTGCTCAGTCTGTAATTTGAAAGCCCCTTGGGCCTGGGGTGAGCAGGCACTGCTTAAATGGCTGTGGGCATTCACTGCTCGAGCTAAGCTGGGGCTTCTTGTGGTTCCCCCTGTGGGTCTTCCCTGCCCTTCCATTTAAAAATAATTTTTATTTTGTCAGTTATTACATGTGCAGTTTAAAAATTAAGTACAGGTGACCCTTGAACAGCACAGGTTTGAACTGCACGAGCCCACTCACATGCGCCCAGTGCCCCAACACTCCCCTGCTGCTCAGGGGCCTGGTGCACGGGGACAAGACCTACAGCAGCCCCAGCAGGGCCGTGTCCCCACTGCCCGGGGGCAGCCACCTGCAGCTTTCTCAGTCTCCATGTTTCCCAATAACACTCGGAGCCTGCTATTTCTTGATCTGTGCCTTTAGACATCACCCGCTGGCATCCTGTGGCTGTGGTCAGTGGCTCAGCTCACTCTCCCCGCCCGGCCTCCTGCCCACAGCTGTGCCTCCTCCCCACGGCCCTTGCGGTCGCCACCACCCCTGGCCCTCAGACACGCAGGTGCCCCTTGCTGGCTGTTGGCGTCGGCGGGGAGATGCACCCCGTGGGCTGGGTGAGCCTGGCTCGGTGTGCAGCTGAGTCTGGGTGCCACAGGGAACCTCCGTTTTCACTTTTTTTTTACCTTTTGAAAGGTCAGTTTTTATTTTTTTTTAAACAACAGTTTTTTTGCAGCTAAGCCGCACTGCGGCCTGGCTGTGACAGCAACAGTGAAGCCACAGGTTCCCAGGGGAGGGTGGCCTCTGCCCTGGCTCACAGCTCAGCACTTCAGCACATGCTGTTCTGTGTTGGGGAGGCATCTGGGGTGTGGCCCCGCCCCAGCCCCTGCTTCTCCAGTCTCTTCTGTACTTTGAGATTTTTTCCTCATTTAGCTCTTCTTTGGCTAATCAGAAAAAAGGAAAGTTCAAAATACTTTTTTTAACTGAAATTTAAAAAAAATTTTTTAAAGATTTTATTTACTTATTTTTAAAAAGAGGGGAAGGGATAAAAGTGGGAGAGAAACACTGATGTGTGAAAGATGCATCAATTGGTTGCCTCTTGCACGCCCCCTACTGGGGACCTGGCCTGCCACCCAGGCATGTGTCCGGACTGGGAATCAAACCAGGACCTTTTGGTTAGCAGGCCAGCACTCAATCCACTGAGCCATACCAGCCAAAGTCAAAATAGTTGAGCAGCAAGTCGGATGCCCTGTGCTCTACAAGGGCCTGGAACTGGGTGCCCAGTCCAGTAGCAGCCTCTCTGCCTTGCAGGTGGCCATGGTGGAGGTGCAGCTGGAGACGCAGTACCAGTACCCAAGGCCCCTGCTCATCGCCTTTAGCGCTTGCACCACGGTGCTGGTGGCCGTGCACCTCTTTGCCCTGCTCATCAGCACGTGCATCCTGCCCAATGTGGAGGCCGTGAGCAACATCCACAACCTCAACTCCATCAGCGAGTCGCCGCACGAGCGCATGCACCCCTACATTGAGCTGGCCTGGGGCTTCTCCACTGTTCTCGGCATTCTGCTCTTCCTGGCTGAGGTGGTGATGCTCTGCTGGATCAAGTTCCTGCCCGTGGATGCACGCCACCAGCCTGGCCCCGCACCTGGCCCTGGCAGCCACACAGGCTGGCACGCTGCCCTCGTGTCCACCATCATCATGGTACCCGTGGGTCTCATCTTCGTCGTCTTCACCCTCCATTTCTACCGCTCACTGGTGCGCCACAAAACCGAGCGGCACAACCGAGAGATCGAGGAGCTGCACAAGCTCAAGGTGCAGCTGGACGGGCACGAGCGCAGCCTGCAGGCTGTGTGAGGGCCCGGGGGGCTGGGGCCAGGGGCTGGGGGCCGACAGGGGGCAGCCTGAGTGTGAGGGAGTTTCAGAGATGCAGATTGCCGTGAGGCCGCCTGGACACTGCCAGCTAGTTCAAGACCAAAGTTTTACTCCTGTCTTCATGCTGTGAAACCTGGATCATTTCCCCTCAGGAAGTGAAAGTCTTTAAACCAGAGACTCTGTTGCTAAGAGCTTAGGGTGAAGAAAGGCTGAGTGCTCGGCCCTGGGAAATCCTGAGACAGGGCACAGAGGGCCACCCCATGACCGAGGGGCTGCAGGGCAGTTGGGTGGCGTACATGACGGTTCCAGCCTGCCATAGTCAGGTGGGGGCTGTGGTGATCGGATGGGCCCAGGACTGCACCCTGGGCCCTGGTGCTCCCCTGCCCTGCCCTGCCCTGGGGGACGTTGGGTGGCCTGGCTTGTGGGGAAGGCCGGCACCGAGGTACGTGTCAGCCCAGCAGGTGTGCTGGGTGCTCCAGGAGGTGGGAGACTTGTCAGGACCTGGGGCAGACTCCCGAGGGTAGGGACCTGGCAGGGTCGGGGAGGCACGTCTGGGAGCAGCCCCCTCGAGGAGGCTGTTAATGGAGAGGTGCTCCAAAGCAGTCTGGGCTCAAATTCTTTCTTCCCAGCCTGCCTGGGGCCCTGGCCAACTGACCCAGCAAGGCCACCAGGCTGGGAAGGGCCACAGTCCAGAGGCCTCCATCTCTTGGCCATAGGATGCCCTCTGAGCCTGAGTCAGCTAATCCTCCGGGCTGTGGCCACCGAAGGCCAAGGGCACTTGCTCAGGTGACAGGGTCTGCGATCCCCCTGCTGCCCGTGGTGGTGGGCAGCGGAAGGGGCAGCTTGTGGAACTTCCTGTCTGTGGGAGGTGGCACCAGGGGCCAGCCCTGGCCACCTGCAGGTCTCACTTATGACATGGAACAACTACAGAGAAGGCACGACCCTACACAGTGCTCCCTCCTGGACCCCTAGGCCCCCCACTCAGCAGCACACTGGGGCCCAGCGCACACCTGCCTTCGCCGTGTGGGGCTGGTGTTTCAGCCAAGGGCGCCTGGCTGCCCCAGTGGGTGTTCTCGGCTGTTCACGTGCAGGCTGCAGCTCAGCCTCTGTGAGCATGCTGTACACTGAGCTGCTTTTATTCCCCCCCCCATTTTATTTTAATTCTAATGTTCAAGTTCAGTTTTCTGCCTTTTCCCCACACCTCTTCCCGCCACCCCAGCCATCCCCACCTCCCTCCCCTAATTACAGCCCCACCTTGGTTTTGTCCATGTGTCCTTTATACATGTTCCTGAAAACGCTTCCCCCCCATTATCCCTTCCCACCTCCCCTCTGGAACTGTTTGTCCTTAATTTCAACGTGTCTGGTTACCTGAGCTGCTTTTAAAAACCATGTTTACCACACTGGCCAGCAGCCACCTGGAGGAGACTTTGTTTTCGCAGATTGTCACTGAGTCTCATGCTCTGGTGGCATTCCTGTCAATAGCCTGACACCTCTGCGGGGTCTGGGTCGCCTGTGTCAAGAAACCCTGACTGGCCTAGTCCAGGTTTCTAGGGATGCGACCCATTGGTGAGAACATAAACCTTAACCTGTGACTCAGGAATGCCGAGGGCCCCTGGGAGCTTTGCTGAGAATCACCGGTGGTAGTGGCAACACTTCCAGGAAGCCTGGACACGGTGTCCCAGTGGCCAGAGCAGGGCCCAGCATCTTCTAAGAGGTTTGTGCCCCTTGCGTCTTCTGCAGACACCTGTTGTGACTTGCTTGCTCTCTAGTGCATGTTTCCTCTTCCCTGCAGCTGTGTTGGAAAGGCTTACCTGGTCTAACATGTTTGCTTTGTGAAGAAATGTCAGCATCACGGCAAGACAGCCACTTACCTGGCAGTGATGAGACAACTGGCTGTGCAACAGCTGGGAGCAGGCAGCAGGCCCTCACTCCAGCCTGAGCCTTTGGGAGGGGCTGTGCCAGCTCATCCCAGCCGCCCCTTTCCCAGGCCACCTGGTGCCCCTGCCCCAAGGATGCCAGCCCCCTGAAGTGCCACGCTACCTAGACTGGTGAGCACACCCCCAGGGCCAGCAAGGGCCCATTGTTATGCCTGACCTGCGGGCAGTTTGTGGCCCCAACAGGGGCAGATGCTCAGTGCCCAGTGATGGTGCCATGTGAGTGGGAGAGATGCCACACATTGTGTTTAAACACCAGGAGAACAGTACTCGTGACTCCTTGTTCTCTCGTCCAGTGTGCTCTCCTAGCTCCAGCCTTCCAGAGACTGTTGGAGCTGCAGGAACAGTGTACAGGGCAGTGTGGGGAAGGGGCTGGCAGGTTACAGGCTAGAAATGTGGATTGGGGAGGTTTAATGTGACTGCGGGGTGTCCCAGTACAACAGGTGAGGTGCTGAGGGCCACCCGGGGGCGGGTCTGGCTTTGCCTGAGTAGTCTCCGAACAGACCTTCCCAGTGCTCGTGACGACTGCCTGCAAGTACTGGCAGCGCATTCCAAAGTGGGGCGCAGTCTCCATTCAGTACCTGACCAGAAGCTTCAAAACTCAAGTGTTTCCATTGTAGAAATGGTGAGTGCAGAATGTAGTCCGTGTCTTCTAGGCAGGTCTGGAGGACAAAGCGGAGAAGCCCAGGGGGAGGAGGTTCATCTGTAGTCTTACCTGTCTTGTGCCGATCGGTCCATTATGCATGACACTGTGCAGATCATGTGCGGGATGCAGAACCACTGTCCTGTGTACAGGTCTTAAAAAGTTGCTCTGGATTGAATAAACAAACTCTGTCCTTGGTGGAAGGCTGTGGGTGGTCCCTGGTTCTTCCCTGGTGTCTGCTACATCCTGGGTCCTCAAGGCCTTCCTGCAGCCTCCTAGTTTTGGTCACCAGCCAGTGTCCTAATGGGCTTCCCAGGTGAGGGACTTCTCTGACAGGGCACTAGGGCCCAAACACGCCATGAGGCACCTGACAAATGGGGGCCCCCTCTCCCTGCAGCTTTTCTTCCCAAGCAGGGCTCCCCTTTCCTGAAGCACAGCAAGGGGCAGCGCCAAGTACAGCCGAGTGTTGATGTAGTTCTCCAGGGGAGGAGCCACTGAAGGTCTGGACTCACCAGCCTTCCTCCAACTCCAGGAACCTGTGGCTCTGGGGAGGCCGGTGTCCAGCTGGGCAGCGGTAATGCAGGTCCCTCCCGCCGCCCATGGCACTCAGGAGGAAATCCCTGACCTGTTTTGTAACGGCCGCCCACTGAAGTAAAGGCCCCATCTAGGAAAGAATTTCTGTTAGTAATTTTCTGGCACTTCAACCTGGATGCTCCTAGGAAGTAGGTGTGCAAAGCAGCTGGCACCACTACACGGAACAGTTCTGCCAATACAGGGGCCTGGCTGCCTCTACAGCCCAGAGAGAGGTCTCCCCAGACCCTAAGGCACCAAGGGCCTAGGCTCAGGGCAGAGTGCCAGGCCAGCAAAATGGCTCTGTGCACTGATTCTCCAGTGCGTCTAGCTAACCTTGGTGGCCAGGCCCACTTACCATCCAGCTGACCTGAGAGGACTCATTCTGACTCACATGCTTCTAGAAGGCTGAGGGGTAGGGCCTAGCAGAGTAAGGTGGGACAAGACTGGGCCTACTGCACTCGAGGCCCATTTAGAACATGCTGAACCCTTTCCAGCCCCTGCTTCCCCCCACAAGGTGCTGGGGACACAGGACAGGCAGTTTCTGCACATCTCAGCAGAATTAACCCCGAGGGTCCTCCCTGGACTGAACTCAGCCCATTAGACCGGCCTCGACCTCACCAACCCTGTGAACAAATAACTGGCCCCAAAGTTACTCAACATCTTTCCAAAGCATGGCCGGTTGAGGGCTGAGCATCTTGCAGGCCCCACCCAGGGGCAGGCTGCTCTGAGGCCCAGCCCCCACTGGCCCCGCGGAGCAAACCACCATGCCTGCATATCTGCTTAGCTGCTCAGGTGCAGGGAGACTGGCTGGAATCCCAGGCAGACTTGTATCTGAATGCCCAGTATTAGGGACCCAGAGCAGGGTCTATGAGGGCTTGTGTGGTTACAAGACCTGGGAAGAAGCTGTCCTCTACCCTCCTACTCCATGGGAGTTGACTCAGTGGCAGTTAAGGCATCTGGGGCCCACCAGTCCCCGCCCACAGCTGGGCTCCAGCAGCCTCTCCACTTGGTCTTCCCAGTGTTCTGCCCAAGCCAGTGGCTCAGGAGCTGGATGCGACTTCACTGGCAGTGTAGTGGCCAGTGGCTCCCCAACCTTCCAGCTCTTAGAAGGTTCCAGAGTGATCATTAAGACCAGTGCTGACCACAAACTCTCCAGGCTGTGACAGCACTGGTCACTCAAGTTTGGCTCTCAGCATGAATTGAGTGTACTTGGTCACATAAGCAGCAGGAGGGCTGGCCCTGCAGGCCCAGGGAACACTGCCATCCCCTCTACTTCCACAGCCTGCACACCTGGCCACAGACACAGGTGCGGCCACCCACACAGGTGGGCGCCACAGCAGCAGCAGGCAGTGAGCCACCTCGTGCTGTCCTGGAAGCCGGAGAGAACCCCCCTCACTATTTAACACCATTATGTGGGGCAGGGGTGGGGTGGGCTGTGTGTGCATGACACCCAGATTTCCCCGTCCTCACTGCATCCTGCACCCCAAGGTTGGATTAGGCGTGACCAGGGCAGAGTCTGACTCAAGCTGTTACCAGCTCTGAAATTTGGAACAGTGGTAACTTCAAATCTTCTACCAACTCCATTCTCCCATCCAACATGCTACCCAAATGGAGGCGCTGCACAGTAGGGTATCAGGAAATCTTCCAAAAGATGGATAAAGGAGAAAATGGTTTTAAGGGATGCCAATATTTTTTAAACTCAAATTATGCAACTTCCCTCAAACTGTGACAAATTAACCCAAACGAGTGGCCATGGTGTGGCTCAAAGGGGCTGACCCAAGGCACATGCCCATCAAAAGCAGTCCCCACAGGGCTTGCACCGCCGTGCGCCGGGGGTCAGCAGTCTTCTCTGAACACCTGATGAGCTGTGGAGGGGACCCTTGTGCTGGGCTCCCCGTTTCAGTCCTGACAAAGAGTCAACTCTGGGCCAGCACCCCAGGCCCAGCCCGGCGCCAGCTCCTGTTCCCGGGGAGGCGGCTCACAAGGGCCTCCCCTGAAAGGAGAGAGAGATTCGCAGGAGCTCCTGCCCAAGCTCTTGCTGCCTGCCCCCAGCACGGAACTCGGCTGACAGCTCCCTGAAGGTGGCGCACACACGGCGGGCCTCGATGTGTCTGCGGTGGATGGCGTGCTTCCACTGGTGCCGCGCTGCCCCGGTAAGCACGAGCAGAGAGCGGCGGGGTAAGGGCACAGCCACCTCCACCTCCTGGCACAGCACGGACCTGCTGGGGGCCATCACACCTTCCACCAAGGCTTCCGGGAAGCCGGATGGGGCCAGGCAGAGCAGCAGGCTGCCAGGTGCTTCCCGGGACATGGACAGCACAGTGGGAGACAGGAGGTTGAGGCTCACCAGCCGCTCCCCCCACAGCCAGGTGTCGTCCAGGTGGGGGTCGATGGCTGAGCCCCGCTCTGGGCAGTAGTCCAGGTTACACTGCTCCACGGGCTGGAAGTCCTCCAGGATGGGGTAGAGGCCCATTCTCCGCACCACCTCCCGGCTGAAGCTGGGGAGGCCTTGGAAGCCAGTGGTCTTAAGCTTTTGTTTCCGAAAGTTGACTTTGGGACCGTAGTCCTGAAGGGAGAGGACAAAGAAAAGTGGAGAAGTGACTGAGTTTACAGAAGTGTTACTGCACACTAGGCCTAAAGGATTCAGTCACGGTGACTGAGAGCGCAGAAATTTCTGACTTCGTGGGTGTGACATCCCGGCAGGAAGAGGCCGGCAGCACAGAGACACAAAGAGCAAACCACTGATGGCAGTAAACGCTAGGGAAAATAATAAAGCAGGGAACAGGGTACGCAGCATTGGGGGTGTCTCAGCCTCGGCACCCCAGGAGGCAGAGCAGGAGACCAAAGGCCCGTGTGTAGGCAGTGCGCCCCGGACGGGAGACCGGACGGGAGGCCGAGCAGCGGGGATCTGGGAAGGACGCGCAGCAGGGGAGCAAAGGCCGGTCCAAGGTGGCACCGCCAAGGCGGGCAGCGCGGGGCACAACGGGGGTGCGGAACCAGGAGGGACAACAGTTACCACGTCACCCGGCAGTTCTACTGAGTATACACCCAAGAGAAATGAAAACAAGTCCGCACAGACACATGCACATGAACATTCTAGCAGCACTATTCACAACAGCCAAAGAGTGGGAAGGGCCCACGTGGTCACCGGCAGATGGATGGATAAACAAATGGCAGCACAGCCAGCCATACAGTGGGATGTGAGTCGGTCCCAAAAAGCAGCAGAGCATCGATACGTGCTGAACTGATGAACCCTGAGAACATCTGAGTAAAGACACCAAAGTCATGTACGGTATAATCCCGTTGATAGGAAATGTCCAGAATAGCCAAATCCGCAGGGACAGACAGAGTGGACCAGCGGTCACCTGGGGACGGGGTACAGGGAGGGACTGCTAGTCAGTGTGGGCTTCCTTTGGGATGACGAAAATGCTCCAGAACTAGCCCTGACTGGTGCGGCTCGGTTGGCTGGGACTGTCCCACGAGGCGGAAGTTCGCTGGTTTGCTTCCCGGGCGGGGCACATGCCTGGGTTGTGGGTTCAGTCCCCAGTCAGGGTGTGTGTGAGAGGCAGCGGATCAATGTTTCTCTCCCTTACCCCTCTCTAAAGTAAATAAATAAAATCTTTAAAAAAAGTCCTAGAACTAGACAGCGGTAATGGCTGCACTACATTGTGACTATACTAAAAGCCAATCCACTGAATTATACACTTTTTTATTTTATATATTTTTAAGACTT